AGCAACAGTCAGAAAAATATGTGAAAACCGGGAATTTGGATAAGACAAAATAAGAAAATAAGTGAAAAATGCAGGAAGAATCTGTATGTCTGTCTGTGAATCCAGACTGTTTATGTCTTGAGTGCTGCATGCAGCTGTGGCCTATCCATTAAAAAAAAAAAAAAAAAAAAGAAAAAAAAAAAAAAGATATAAAGAAGAACAGGATGAATAGGATGAATAGATACCAGGGCTCTCCAACTTGGAAAAAAGGTAAATGCATGGAAAGTATGATGGGCATGGATGACTGGGAGTGAATGAGTTGAGTACCATTATTTTTTATCTCTCACAGTAAAGGTAGGAGATATCAGAGAATATTATCTGACACCAGGTTTAAAATAAACATAAGGAAGTATTTTTTTTATACATGATTAGTTCCTTTCCTCAGGGATAAAATGTTTCAAATAGGAATTTGAAAAGCTTGTGTGAAAAATTGATAGTTTAACAAGATGCAGAGACAGATTCTGTTTCAAACTGTGTAGCAGATTGCTGGAGCCTGGGAGAGTATAATACAGGGAGTGTCTCCATGTTATTGTCCCATTCTCACAATCTATCTTTTAAGCATGTACGCCAGGGTCCTGTCATGGAAGAGATACTGATCTAGATAAGCTCACCATTTGCATATCTTACTCCTCTGTCTCCCACATCTTCCTATTTCCCCATTCCTTTGTTTCTGTAAGTTCCCATCAGTCCTAGCACTGACAGACTGTTCTGATAAGTTGCTGCAGGTCGCCAAACTTTAATCTGCGTATTTAGATTGGGAATCAAGCTCTTATAACAGCAACAGAGTTCCCAGTAGAGTTTTTCCCATATTTTTGTAAGGCAAACAATGACATCTTGTCATGTTCACTAAATCCAGAAGAGCAGAAGTCCCATAGACAAATGTGTGTCAATGGTAATGAATCACTAAAGTGAGACATCATCTGGTTCATGTTTGATAAAGCCTTCTGCTTTATTCTGCCCATAGTGAGAAGCAGAAATCATTGCATTTGAAACATACACTTTTTTCCCAGGTCAAAAGCAAGGGAAAGAACTCAATAAAATCAATTTTCCTCTTCTGTCTTCAGCTTTTCCCTAATCCCTGAGGCAACAATGGCAAAAAGCAGCTCAGGGAAGAAGGTGCGGATGTAAACTGCTGCTCTGGGAATAGGGTTGGCCATCAGTACCTCCTGCTTCTTACTGCTCACTGTGTGCAAGACTTCCTCTGCAACCTCCACTGGGTGCACACCATATGCCACCTTTCTGAAAAAGGCTGTAAATCAGAGAGGAGTGAGAGCTACAGACAGAGAAATTGATAGACAGACAGGCAAATCTGAGGGAATGGTGGTGAAAAGATACACAGCTAGTGCACCACTCAAATTATTTAAATTCCTACATACTTTCAATCCTTTACCTCTTCCTTTTCCCTCAGCACTGTATCCCTAAGATCTTTTTAAAATTTTGAATTAAAGTCCTTACAGTCCCTAAGAGAGGGAGCAACGGAGTTCAGTGGAACTCTCCCTACGGACCTTTCATGCTCTGCTCCATTCCCCATGCCCTGGCTGTATTTATTTTCTCACATAATGTTGTCTCTTCCCATGTTTCTTCTCTCTTCACCAGGCTTATCTAATCTCTCCAATCTCTCCATTCTTTTGCTCCTCTAACCCGTTCATCCTTTCTGACATTTCCATTTTTTTCCCTGTGCTCCTTCCCTCTCCCTGGGAAAAGCCTCCACATTGCTATGCAGGGCTTGTCTACCTTCTCTCTTAATGTGTCAAACCTTACATTTCCAAATAGATGCCTCCCAGTTGCCAGGTGCTGGTTGGTGATGGTATGAACAGAGGAAGGTTGGATTCACAGTGCTGACACAAATATCAAATTCTTCCATTTCAGCTCTAAGACAATCAAAAAAGCCTACAGCAGCGTGCTTAGAAGCAGCATCTAAAAGAAAGAAAAAAACCTCGTGCATATTTGGATATACGAATCCATGGATATAGACGTATGATAGAGCTCCATAAAACATGAATGTTTGGAAAATTGAGCATGGAATGATTAACCAAAAGCCAAAAGAACAGTGAATTATTTCACCCAGTGAAATTATCATCTAACATATTTAAATTAAACAAAAATAAAATTATTTGTACAGGGCAATTATGCATGAGGTATGTAGTTAGTCTCCCTATACATGTCAAAGAGCATGTGTTCGGATTTCCCAATCAGAAATATTAAGTCTTGGGTTAAGGAATAATACTTCTGTTATCTCAGCAGTTTAAAAATGTCTTTGG